AAATTTCATTGAAAGGCATGCTACTACTGTATATAGAAAAACTTACCTGCCCACTAATTTTCGTCAGAACAAATTGAAACTGCGAGTTGCAGTACAGTAGAACCTGTCTAAATTAAACTTGTTTAATTTAAAACCCTTTCTAAATTGAGCAAAAGATATGGACCTATGTTGAGCACCATACTTATGCTACCCTCCTTTATTAAAACCCTCTCTAAATTAGACACTGTCCCCCAGTCCCAACATGTTTAATTTAGAGAGGGTTTTACTGTAAATTTGTCCTATGATGCTTTTCGATCAGTGTCACTTTAATTTTTTTTGCTCTTGAAGGGTCCGCACTTAGCACTGAGAGATGTCTCCAATGACTTTATTCTATGTGGCGCACGAGTTTAATCCCGTGCATCCCCCTTTGCCACAGCTATTATTTTCGCTCGCAAAATGTTGTCCGGTGATACATGAATCTATTGCGTATGATGCTCTTTTTTTTTGTTTCCATTGCATTACATGATTAGGCAGTTCACAATGCCCGTTTGGAGTTTGTACCATTGTCGATCGAGTGTCCAATATTGAGCAAGTAAACTTTGCGGTTGTATTGCGAAAGCTCTCTTTGGCTCGTCATGGATCTAGTGACAGGATCCAAATATTCTGCAATCGCAAAGTGTCAGGCGAGTAGATATGCGACTTTGATCTGCGCTAATTTCTACAGCTTGCTAATGCACAAAAGCACATGTGGGTATGATATATATTGTACTATTGTGTAGATAATACAACGTTGTACGCAAATTTCACGCTCTGACGAAATATCTGTACGCTTGAAGACGAAAGCCTCACGTCAATTTATCATCGGATATAGTAGAACGCGTATATGACGTAATTAGCTTAGTTTAAGGTATATGTCACTTTTGAATTAGCAGAGCAGTCTAACTACCTGTAAAAACTAGAAACTCTCGGTTTCGTTCCTAAGTGAACGTGCGAACCTAATTTGTGTGCTTCTGTTTACTCCGTATTTTGGTAAAGTCGAAGCTACCTCTGAGCAAAGTGCAATCCTACGACCGAGAGTGTATTTCATGTCATAATTGTACATTATATGTCCTCGCCCTGGATACTTTTTCTAGAGCTGATTTTGGAGGGACCAGGAAACTGGCGACAGATAAACCAGTTCTCTTGCCATGAAGCATTCACCAGCTATGTGGATGCGCTGAAAAGACACTGTGACGGGGCAACACGTACCCTGATATACAAGGGTGGGTCACACAAGATGGTGTGACCACACAATGGTGTGGCTGCACCTTAACAAGTAGCCACTAGTGATGCATTTTAATTAGGTTTCGATATTAAATTAGGAAAATGTATAGAATTGGAGATAGGCGGTTCTGCCGCAAATAAAACAGAGGAAATATACTCTGGATTTTGAACGGAAGAGTGTATTTGCCTCGAGGTAAGGTTTTGGGTACTCTTGAAGGTAGCAGATTGCGATCCCCTACACTCATATCGGTTCTAGTATAGAATGTAAGGTCGGTGATCTTAGCTTACATTCCTCTAAGCACAGAGCTACGGAAGCCCTGCTGCAGACACCACCAAGAGCACAAGGACTCGACATCAGTTGGTGCACAAAGGATACTCACCGTGATGCTGCCAATGTTGAGAAGCCGGTTTTGTGACGTCTAATTCGGAGACTTCTTCCGCTCTTTGGATGAGAAAATCTGAAATGGCCATATGATTGGTCATGCTCTTCGTGATGCAACAGCGTGACATAATCAGTAACTTCAAGCTAAGAGGTGGGCACCACGTAGGGGTTCCAAACACCGGAAGACTCAAAGCGCTATATGTTGCATTTGTTTGCATTGTCGAACCCGCCGTTCGAAGTTTTCGTCCACATATAAGGAAGGCAGAAACTAGCAAACTTGGTCCAGAACTTAAGAGCTCTTATTTTCGTAGACCCTATCACAAAGGTAGTAGCAGTTTTCTTCTTTACGTAGGATATCCGAACGTGTCCAGCTTTCACTGAGATTGTTTGCGCTTAGCCTATCTAAATTAAAGAAATTGGTGGCCGTCACATCAATTGGGTAGAGCTGATTAAATGTGGCTAAGGGTTTCCAGGAAGCTTTGTAAATGCACCACAGACAATGGACCTCAGTCATGCTATTCCTTGAAAGGTCGAGCAGCCCCGCACTTCTCGCAAATGTTTCGTCGTTTATGAGATAAACCGTCTGCGCCTTGATTTCCCCTTTCGCTCTTAACTGAGAGGTGAACTTTTATGCAAGGCCGTAATTTTTTCGCGGGGTAATGTCAAATCCCAAAGATGCAAGTCAATTTAGCGGGGAAATTGAGTCCTATTTGCACCTTGTGAACATCGCGGTCAATGGTCACATTATATCAAATATCATATCTCAAATTTAGGTCTAATATGCTGCTGAAAATTTTTGATTAGTGATCTAGCAAATTTTCCGAGGCTTTCACTAGGATATTATGTTTGCATTTGACGCCTTATATCTTTGCGTACTCTCTGCTGTATTTGACAGTCGGTCAGGGTCATTGATCACACGGCGCTTTTGATATAAAATCTGTCCTTCTACGGCTTCCCAAATACCCAAATGCTACTTTTACAAGAACCAAAATTCTGGGCTATGAGCTCCACTCACCTTAGAGAAAGCCGTTCTTTTTAAAGATAGACCATAAGCCCTGGGTTAGTAAGATTAGCAACCACGCACTCTGATTCTGGCGAAGCTTCGGCGAGTGATGAAACCATTTTCTGCCGAGAAGCAAATGCTTGGTTGAGGGGGGCACGAAGCTGCAATAGTTTTCGTGCAGAACATTCAAGTAGCTTAAATATAAAACAATAGTATTGCGAGGTGCCTCAAGCGGAGCTCAAGGCGTAGAAGCGGCAGAGAGCCGCTATCTATTGCGGACCCTAGAGCGTATCTGTTTGACAGAAGCTCTTTAGAGAACAAGTATTCATTTTCGTGGATATGTGCAAGAAATTGCAAGACGGTGAGGTCACCGCAAATGTACCATCGGTACATGAGGAGGAACAGTCATAACGCGTCAGTCATTTGGGTCGCTCGCATAGTACTGATGGAACATCTGTCATCATAAGTCAAACAAATGCGCTTCATTCTTTGCTGAAGTAATATACTGAAGTGGCGTCAAACGACTTGTCATGCGTGTTACCCCCGGATAGGGAGGTCGGGTTGAAATTTACCCGCTTTGTGGAACCAATATTGCATCATACGTCAATGCCCTAACCAAAAAACGGCTTTACATCATTCACGCTTCTATTTGCTCGAAGCTTGTAGCGATTTTAGTAGAAAAAATAGACTGCACACGCAGCGCCATCTTTCTGGTCGGAAAGACTTACACGAAGTGAATGATTACGCACGATTCAAATGATAAAGCTGCCGCTATAATTTCATGTAAAATGCCTGTTCTCTGGAATGCAATGCTACTGAGAAGCATAGTAGGCTGTAACTTGTTCAGCGCAGTGATATAATTGATTATTATTATCAACTGCTAATGAGATGCAACGATGTATTTTTTGATCCGGTGAAGACTTCGAGTGGGATGGTGAGGGTTTAATCAGGCTGAAGGAAAGTATTATGCACCAGCAACCGGTTCCGCAACCATTCAGGTCACATCGCGGCTTCACTTAGACCGATTGACGATATATTGTCGATAGTCGTGCAGAGAACAATAGGGAATCATATTTGACTTGCAAGCATTTCTTAATGTTGATTGATATTCTTTGTTGCTATCAAATTTTGCTTTTTGGGTTTCTTTATTGAGAAGGAAGGTTTGTGGGCAGAGCCACCAGCTTCGACAAAGATCGTTGTACATCGGCCAGTGTCGTTGTCCTAAACGGTCTTGAACAATGGCTTGGCCTGACCAAGTACTTGCCCAACTATTTTACACACAACTACCGACATGTCTTAATCTCTTTAGAACAAATGTCAAATGTTGTCGGGGGGCTATCGTGCTTAATTTTTGCTAACTGAATGCTGCCGTGACAAATGCCTATTGATGACAAGGGGCTTTTTGCAATTCAGTAGGCCCTCCTGGAGCTCAGGGTATACCAACTTCACTCGACGCCGGTCATCATACCGCGCAGCGACGTCGTCATCACATCACTCATGAAGAGTGACAATGTAGTGAATTTATTGCTGAGCATACGTTTGAAATATGATACAAGTTGTGTCAGCTAAATATGGCATCGAATGCACTTCCACGTCGCTCCGACTATGTGTTTGCGCATGGCACCGTCGGACCTCACCACTAAAAAGGGCGATACGTAGATCGTACGTGTAAGACGCAACATGTGTTGCGTTGCTGATTGCTTATGTCGCTTTTTCAAAGCGTATGGTTGCGGGACTGCATCAATATTCTTTTATTTTAAGGCTCACTTTGTTGTAACACAACGAGTTCCCATAACATGCATCGTCCAGCGGTGCCTATCGATGAGGACCTTAGATGCATAATACTGTACGAGATACCTGATATCAATTTTGTCACTTTGGAACGGAAAAACATACTGCTCGGTAAGCACTATGGATTGGAAGTACAAAAAAAATTACAAGCGTACCATTTGAGAGACCAAGTATAAAGTTTATGGAATTGGGCTGGCGACATTTCACATATATTTAGACAAGACGGAAAGGTGCAGACGCATCTAGCGAGGGCTCAATCCGCTAATACATTTACACACGCTAACCATAGTGCTACACATTTGTACGTGCTGGACTGCAGAATTACAGACTGTATGAACCTCACGTCGTTTGTCTTCGAGGGTACAGTCACAGAGGGGTATCGTGTATCTTCTTTAGTTTTCTGTACTTGATCTTTTTATCATGACGTACTATCAAAGACTGGGTACCAAGTGGGACAGTGCAGTAAAACAGCAAATCTTCAAACAAGGAATATTGTTGCAAACGCGAAATGATATGAAGTGACATCAAATTCTAGTGTTTTGATTTTTCGAAGAATTTAGAAGTAAAACCTGTTCCGTCCGCTTTGTACGTCGATCATTTCTCAATTCCCCACTATCTTCATATGCAAAAATTTAGAGTGTGGGCGACGCGGAAGCGCCTCAACCAATACATCAAGCCTTTCGGGATTATCACGTAATATCTTGGTGATATACTCGACAAAACAGGAAATCTATGTTGCCAATGATTTGCTCGTGCCGATTTGCATCTAAGTGGGAATAGAGGACTGCCTATGGTAAAGGCTGAAGCGTCCCAATAGACGTGAAATATCCACATGAATTGCTATTATGTATCAATTAGGATTTTATCATGGAAGATAGTATATTCATCGCGAATTTAAGCTAAACTTTATATTGGGGATCAACATTAGAGCAAAATAAAAATATATCTGGTCATAAATGCCTCTCGCTTTAGCTACATACATGCCCATCTTCTGTACTTATCTAACAGTGTCAAAGCTTTCTGGGCAATTTTCACTGGAATCTCATTTTAACATCCCGTCTTGTTGATAGCCCCGGGTTTCCTGTTTTGCATGCCGTCATATAGAAAAGTATCCATTTTCCATTCAGAGATAAGTAACAATCAATTGTCATACGGTATGACATATCACTAAGGCATCAAATGGATTTTATGCGTATTGCGTGCGGTACACGTCGGCAATCACTGTTTGTACCTCGAGTCATCAAGAGGTAAGTAAGGCGTTGAATGTGGTCATCCACCATAGAGTGATCACACAAGCACGTCAAGCTTCGATTCTGATCCTAAATACTTTCAACGTCGACTTTTCATTCCTACATTTACATCAAAGTCCGTCCGTCGCTGTCATGTCATTTCCAACTTTAAGCTTTAAACTGTCAAAATCCAACCGTCAGCACTCGAAATCCAGTGTGCAGCCAATATGTACAACTCTTTCAAGTCTCTCAGACAGTCAACTTTGTCGTTCTCAGCGAGTGGACAAAAGCATTCATCTCTCTACCCATCGGAAGGCGGAGATGTTAGCATTAATGCGGGATGTAGAGCGTGAAGTAGTGAATAGCATGATAGGAAATCATGAAATGATGACAATTTGGACGCCTCGAATGCGCAAAAAAGGTATTGATTACTATGTCGACGATACAGTCGCGAAAGGGTTTGCACGATTCTGCTGCGTTGGACAAACAGACGCTTCTGTAATCGACATGATGCCGATGTTCGTTAGTACTCATTCTAAAACGATGCTGAAGAACGCGCGCATTATGAATGAGAAGGTGAAAGAAGCTAAAATTTTGTCGGTACTTCAGCCAGCTACAGGGTCTCATCCTTACAAGTCTGTTTACATTCGATACACATCCATGGACACACCCAAACTTATATACGGACGCGACATTTGCGTCTGTGTTTGCACTGACGTTATCAAAACAAGGGACGGCTCGACAGTAGGTTACTGTCTTTGGAACTCGGTGGATATGCCCGAATGTCCAGATCGATTCGACACAGACAAAGTTGTTCGAAGCAAAGTGTGGAATTCGGGCTTCATTTTTCGAAATTCAGGAAAGCTGAACGCAATGACAAAAGTGTGCTTCATCGTTGGCATTGAGCTATCGTGTGTCGCTCCACAAATTACAAGTCGCATATACATGACGATCTTCGGGGGCAGTTGTAGTCGCGTATGTCAGTACTACAGAAAACGATTTATAGACCCCGAAAATTTTAAACATCGGGCAGAATGGATATCTAAACACGAGACTCATGACTGTTACGTGTGTTCTCGCTTGTTTAATCCATTTATAAAGAAGTACAATTGCATGAGATGTGGAGAGGTGATTTGTAAACGCTGCTTCTTTATGGAAGAAATCAGTGTGCGAGGCGCAAAAGTCATTCGTGTTCGTATTTGTCACTATTGCTTGGAGGACAAAGGAATGCTGGCTTGGCATCTTCGTGCAATTGCAACCCACGACAGCCATCACTGTCTAACTTGCAATGGAGCTGGAGTCAAAGATCTCTTGCGTCATGGGTCGGTGGAAGCTTCACAATTATACATAAAAAACAACAGTTAATTTTTTTGATATTTAAACGATTTAACAACTTTGGGTTATTTTAATTATCAAAGTAGAGTCTGAAAGTAAATAGCATGACGAGTAATAAAATTCTGTAAACTTGAGTTATGATTGAATATTACTCATAAAATGTACGGATGGTACATAGAGTGGTGAAGATGCAGAGATAATTGGGTTATGTAATGCAGCATAGATTGTGTCCTGACTCTTCATTCAAAGCAATATTAGATTCCATTCCAAAGCGCCGAGCAAATGTCCTACTCACCGAAAGACCGCGTAACTGTGTTACCGGTGCTATCCAGTTACCTACTTTTTACAAGCTTATAAAACACATCACCGAGTTAATTCTTTTGTCGGCGATGCTGTCATATCAAATTATTAGCATGATAACGGCACATGTTACTGCTCGAGATTTCGACACGAGAAGGGACATAACCAATTTACGACTACAAAAGCCATAAACCGGCTTGGAAACCGAATCGTCGTCTACATATAGTTGTTTTCATATCTTTGCCAAATCGCTAGTAACGCTAGCCCAGTTTCATGTACTTGATCTTGATCAGAAAAAGGCTTTTGAAGCCTAAGTCTTCAAGCTGATCAGGGTAGTATGGAGGCTGTACCCAAAAAAACGTAATGCTGTTCTCAACCATTCGAAGAAGCTCTTTCAGTGTGCGATCAGCTATGCGAACTTGTATAGTATTCAGCCTGACACTTGTCAATCATGGTGCTCTTATCCCTGGAGCGCAAAGTCTTGTAAACACCAGAAACCTCAGAATCAAACGACTCTCTCATCCTCGCCAGCTTTCAGTCAACGACGATTCGGCCCCAACAATCCTTGTTCCTACGTCGGACGAAAAAAATCTTGCGCCACAAATCGCTAACGACGACATGGCTGACGAGGAGAGGCTTCCGGAATGGGCTCGTACTATCGGCTACAAAATTGCACGGTATGTGATGGATCCATATCAAGCGTTTGATCGTTTTGGTATTGTTCACTCGGCCCAGCTAACGGAGAATAAACTGCTATTTCGTTTGTGGCTTAACGACTATATCAAGTCCAGATATCATGAACATACGTTAGAGAATATTTATGCTTTCTTACAGCAGAAGCTACAGGGAAAAGATCTGGTGAATCTTCTGGAAGATTTACGACGAGAGCCAGCCTTCAAGCAATTCGCAATTGAATTACAAGTGTACATGTTTTCATCAGAAAGCACCGAAGATTTGGTCAGTCATGCCTGGAAGCAGTCTCACTTAAGCTATCGAGAAATTTTTGACTTTTTGCCTCTCAATAAGAAGACTGGTATTGAAAGGCAGGTTCGTGGAGAGGAAGATTTCACGAGGAAGGCTCTACTCGCATGGCTTCGCTACAGCCAATCCGAAGCGCCAGCTATAAATGATTTATCCGATCTCTTTGTGTTCGAGCTGTTTCATTTTAACATGCTTTACTTAGCGAGGACAGTCGCATCAGATGAAGAGTTAAACGGTGTGTTTCGATTGCTTCAAAAAGACGATAGGATGGCGAAGTTTGCAAGTGAAATGGCAACAGCACTCAGAAGCGAGATGACCAAGGAGAAACGTTTGGCGCATCCAAGGCCACTTCGTCCACAGCAATTCTATCAAGACTCAGGCGAGATCATTCCGAATTTTTTTCATTGGCTCAGGTATACCAACTCGTACTACGAAATGGGAAAACACGCGATGACTCACATCAAATTTATTGACAACGAGATCTTTCGCTTCGAGATTATTATGTTCTTGAAAAGGGAGACGTTTAGAATCAATCCGGTGGAACTGTTCAAATCGTTGATTGATCGGACTCAGGACATGCAGAACTTTGCAGTCGATATGTACGCCGCGGCCCTTCGCTATGCAAAAAATCAAGAGCATCTCGAAACCAATACGTCGCCTACGTTGTATTTTCAGGACTTAGGGCTACATCAAGTTGAGACGGCTTTTTATCCAGAGAGCCTAACATTTTTGCAGTGGCTTAGTTTCCTTGGGTCGTACGTGTCGCGAGATCACCAATTTTCCGTGCCTGAGATGTTCGCACTCATTTTTAAAGATATGACACCCCCACTTATTTTTGGAGTTTACTTCGAGTCGATCAAGAAGTTTCCTGGACTGACCGCCATTTCTGAAAATCTACAGAGTGAGGTTTTCAAAGCTTGGAAAAGTGGAGAAATTGTACAACCCCTAGTTTTCATGAAGTTTGTTCAGCTTATGCCCGAGAATGGTGTGGCAGTCACCTCAGCTAAAGCTTATGCCAATTTTTATGCTAATATTCCGCGCCAAAGAGTCCTCCTACTCGATCACGAACCCAGGTGAATGGCCATGGGCTTTTTGTCTAAGTAATACTTACGGTCAACCAACTCACATTTTATCGTCAGACAGCTCGAATTTAAGTTACTGAAATCTATAATATTTGTAGATTGATAATTTAAAGTTATTACGTTGATGAATTACAGAGTGATGAGGAGAGTGAATCGTGAGGCAATATTTAGACTACTAGTATGAGACAGTAAAATATATACCAAGTATTAGACTTTGCTCGAAATAAATGTCACTCTTGAAGATACATCTCTGTATCTTCAAGAGTAGAGATGTACTAAAAACTGAATTACCTGAAGAGCTCTTTGGCTTCTCTCCCAGGAAGGAGCATACGACGATTTCAATCTTTCTACCAACTTAATTTGTTCGATAAGCCTAGTTTACATTATTGCAAGCACAAGAGTCGCGCCAGCTTTTGTCCGAAACACGTTGAGCCGACCGTCGCGCTAGTGCGAAGCTCCTACATGCCTATGCGTGTGAGTCTTCTGCTCACATCAGAGCAAAACAGACACGAGAAAGCCGCTCGGTGAGTGCTACAGGTCATCAACCCCAGCAGTACCGAGTTATCGGCACAGATGCTGTTGAGGAAACCAGTGCCTCCAATGAAAGATAAACTGTGGGAAACGATAAGCTGGCGAAAGTGCCACTGAGTATTAGACTCAGTTTGTGCTGGGTACGAAAAACACGATGTCTTGCTTGTCTTAGAATTTACAAATCAGCTTCAGCGAAGTGCGTGCACCCGTCTAGCGCTTCGTCTCACGCTCAACTATGCACAGCTTAAAGCACGGCGGGGACGTCGAGATGACTACCCATCACCTCATATTTTCGGTGTTAATAGTCCCACTCGCCTCCACAATACAGCTGAGACACCTATCTACCAAGAGAGGTGTTGACCGCAAATTGGTCGTCTCCTACTAGCTGGAAGCGTGCTGCGATTGTCTACCCTACCTCTTGTCCAAGCGATATAAAGGCCGAGAGTGCGGTAGGTTGCAAGCTCCTATTACCAAAGTGCAATCTCAAATGTCCGCGAGCTTGAGACTGAAGGGAGCACTTCCACTTCTCTAGGTACTGTGTCAGTCCTAGTGTATTCGCCGGTCAGCTAAGCGATCCTATCGATTGTGGGTCGTTGTAGCTCATCGATAAGTGCCGACGGAGGTCAATACTTCAACAGCTTATTCTCGTAGTCTCTCTCGGCTATGACGTGACTCTTAATGGCGCGGCGCGCGTTTACGGCTGAGAAAATCTTAAATTTGCTTTCCTTACTTCGTCATCACACTGGACGCCCCCATTAGCTCAGAACTGCATCGCTCCTTGGACCAGAGAGTAGCTTAGCTAGAGGAAATGACTGAGACGTTGATCGCTGCAAAAGAAATCTTCAAACTGGACTGACCGACCGTGGTTGGCCTCAGTAAGCCCACAAAAAACACCAGGTTGGGCTCGCATTCGCTTCGGCTTATCCGAGTACGACTTGATCTCTTTTTCGCTACGACTGTGAATGGTCCAATGTAGCGGTTGCTACTTAGTCTTATGTTCTACAATCATTGTTTAAGTAGGTGAGCTAAAAGCATTAAGCTTAATATATTGTTTCAAAACAGTTTTATGTTTGTTCTGCCTGCTTTGACTGGTCGCGTTGGTTTTTGTCGTGGCTTTCAAACATACTGTCGTGCTCCCTGCGCATGACGCTGAATCTCATGGAGATCTAGTAACTGGTTTTGCTATGAAGCGTAGTTGGGCTGCTGAATTGATCAGCAGCGACCTTCCCAACAAAAATCGGGACCATTTTGTGGCGATGTCAAAGACACCGGGGAGGTCCAATTCGTCTATGTAAAATGGGTGAAGTCTGTGGAGAAAAGTACGGCGTATTCTAACGCTAAATCAACGAGTGGATGCAGCTTGGATTGGCACCGCGAGCTCCCGTTTTAGCGAATATCCACTACAATGTGATCCACGCGCTCTCTCTAGCGAGTTGATTGCAAATGACCAGCAGTTGGCGTACTAAAACTATCGCCGAGGATCTTAGATAATTGACGATAAAATTTTGCTGTCAAACATGGACCTCTATTCGATGAAACGGCTATCGGTGAACCATGCTGGCAAAACACTTCGTCGAAGAACAGCCTGGCTGCAACCTTATTGGTCACATTATCGTTAACAGCTGTTAATGGGCCATTCTGCTCGGACGGTCAATAAAGACCACAGCACCGTTGCCGGCCGCTTTTTTCCGAATACCAAAAACAAAACTAAATCTGATGGGATACAAGTGCTCTACAGGAAGCGGCAGGCTGGCCAAAGTTGCCAGATTTACCCGTTGACACATTTCACACATGCGCAAATTTGTGTTTACATATAGTTACATTTCTGGGCCACCAAAGGCAACTGCCACGACCCCAAACTCCACCAATACGTAGCACTCACCTAGCAGTACGTATTTTGTTTTCTGGGAAAGCAAAATAGCGGTGTCATGTGCCTTGTACAGCATTTTGTCTCTATTTGTCCTTATCCTGGAAAATCATTCATCTCAGCTTTCAAGCAGAATGTTTTTTCAATTCTTTCAGCAGTGCAATACATATTGCCTTTGACCCGTACGCTGTATGTATTGTCTCATCACCAGGTGACGTCGCCATTTTGAAAATCGACGGTACATAGTCAGGGCGTTGCGAAAGCCCGTCCACCAAAAATTAAACCGACTTGAAACTTTCCTTTATTTAACAGTATACTCGGCGAAGAAGACCGACCTGGATCGAAGAGATAATATCATGGCATACATGAGGCTCTCTATCACAACCTTGAAGGACGCCTCTTTCAATTCACCCCAAACCATTTGACATACTTTTGAAGAAATACGGTAAGTGGCTATGTCGTGTCGGCATAGTTTGCACCGTACTTATGCATGTGGTTGGTCGCTCCAAACCATTTTGTCAAGTCGTCATGGGACAGAATGGCCAACCCAAAATGTCTCGAGCTTTGCGAGATCTACCTGCAGACATTGCGCTTAGAAGGAGCAACCCAGAAAGAGAATGAGTAGGCGACAAAGACACATTTGTAATAGTATTTTTTTAGCCATTACACGAAGATATATCTATGTACCTTCTGTTTGCATTTTAGAAGCTTATAAGAAGAGGATTCCAGTATGGTGTTCCGTATGTGATATCTTATATGAAGTCACGAACATTATGTGTGATACAAAATGATGGTTCCTACATGGGGATATGCACTGGTGAGGAAACTGACGTGTTTCTGTCTTTTGAAGTTGGTCGCGTAAACCCAGTCACTTCTAAGGGAAACTTTTCCTGTTAGTTAAAGTTCAAGCTTTCCGAAGTTCAAGCTCCGTACACTCAAAGCCTGTGTAAGTTCAAGCTAAGGTTAGACCACAGTACAATTTTTATGGTATAAATCAGGCTCATAGAAACGCAAGGTTTTATTGTCAAAACCTCTACGAGCCCTCGGGTTGTTTTACCTGCAGATTCAGGAACCATGACTCATCTTAATTCAGCAGCAAATGTATCTTCAAGCTCATTGGTCGTTTTCTTTCTTTAAAATCAGTCCTGTCTATCTCGCTCCACACTGTTGGGAGCAATGCCCACTCACAACTTGTTTGTATTGTCTTATCCATCATATAAGGGCGCGCACTCGAGCGCAGCTCCCGATTGCTCCATGTGGTTTTCTATATCCGACTTCCCGTGCTCTTCACGACTATGAATTAATTTATCGTCGTGCGCGACTTCTCATCGACTCAATATTGATCATTAGTAGTCCATGTAGCTTAATTTGCAGCTTCCAGTGCATCCCGCCCAAACTACTCACTGCATTGCGAGAATCTGACTGTGTCTCGACAGTTACTAAAATAATCGATCAGATGAAGGGACTGGATTAAGCGTAGCTAACCATGCTGTTTCATATTTAAAAAACGTTGCGCCGCAATTGAGGCTGCATTATGCTAGTCCTGGCATGTAGATTTTGCCGCATGCAAGCAGCCATTCTGATAAGGAGACTCGATACCAAATGTGGAGATTGATCTTCTCTGACTTAACGCGCTTTGCATCGACGAAAGCATCAGTAACGCCATATTGTTCCCTCGGTTAAGGCTATTAAATGGTGACGCAAAAGTTACTTTTTGAATCAAGTTAACTTCACGTCGCACTCTACAATTTGGGCATCGTAATATTCCTTCAACACACGACTGAAAAAGTTAGTGGGATTTTCTTCATGATAGCGATCCCACTTCTCGCACTATATAATCGTCGAAGGTTCTCAATGACGACGAGCTCAGATCCGTCTTTGGTATCAACTGCATGTTAATCTCACCGTCTTTTAATAGCTCATCAGGCTCAATAAGATTTTTCTGCTCGAGGTAGTGAGGGCAGATTCACTGCCCTTATGACGACTCGATCACTCTATTAGAGATGTGATGACGGCGGAGGTGCGCGCAATGAAGTTTGACTTGTACAGATTACAAACATCTTGAAGCCGAGTAGAAGCACCCTGAACTCGACGTTAGCATTCTTTATTTCGAGAGGCTGTGATAGAAACAGAATAGTCGATCATGCCGGGTCTTATCTGCTTAGTGTAAATCACGGTCTATCGCAAAGGCTATAGCATTATATACGACTTGGAATATCATGAGTGAACAATCTCTCGTAACACTTACCCGTAGAGCTTCTCTGGCCCAGACGGTAAGCCCGTCACACGGTAGTGCTGACTCAGCAGTACCGTCACATCGTGACAAAAATGAACCATTATTTTTTCTCCACGGTTTAGCTCTTCTATTCGTGACTTACAGTCGCCTTCCAAGTCCACCGGCCCTAGCAAAGAAGAAACCAGGCCGCAGCTTTTCTTGACCATTCCGACAGATATACACTCTGGTGACCACGACATACAGTCGTCTTGTCTTGTCTCAGCCGAGATACACTCCGGAAACCGTGACGTACAATCTGTCAATCTTGTCTCATCTTGAGTTCTACCTCCCGAGCTCTGCTTGGGGTGCCTTGCACTACCATTTATTATCAATTTGGACATCCATTTGAGTGCACGGATGCTTTCACAGCTTCGTGACTGCTTAGAAAACGCTTTAACTCCTGGCAAAGGTGGATCCAAAACTTGCGACTGCTCCTTTAGGATAGAAAAGATGACTTTTTTATACTTTTAGTCGACCCACTTCTCGTGGTGATCCAGCCTCGTATTTCCAATCTAGGTCCGGGCAGGCTACAATTTTAGTTGCTCAAGCTAACAAATTCTTGTTGAAGGGCTCAACAGAGATTTCGGCAGTCAAACCAGTGGCCTAGTCGCAAGACGCACAACTTCGTGTCCTTGTTTGGCATCTACAATATCTCAGCGTCTCATATAAGGTTTTCGGTAGTCGTGCAAAATGACAATCAACAACCCTGGACTGTGAGCCCCTTTTGATCTAAAGAGAGTCGTATTTTAGCGGTGAATTGCTGTAACAAAGTTACACATACCCTGATATGAAGGGGTGGGTCACAAAATTTGTTGTGACCACGCAATGGTGTGGCTACACCTAACAAGAACTCACTACGTGGCTGGAGTGCCAGTAGTTATGCATTTGAATTACGTTTTACTATTCAATTAGGAAAACCTATAGATTTAAATATAGGCGGCTTTGCCGCAAATTAAACCAATAAATACAGTTTACATTTTGAACGGAAGAGTTTATTTGCCTTGGGTTACGGTTGAGGTAACTCTTGGAGTAAGCGGATTGCGATCCGCTACACTCGTACTGATTATGGTATAGAGCGAAGGTCAAAGACTTTAGCTTAGTATCCTCTAAGCGAAAGAATTACGGCGGCCCTGCTGCTATTGCATCAACTGGAAATTCGGAAGGTACAATACACCCAGATTTCTTGCGGGATATTGCCCTGATATCTGGGATTTGACGTCTCCCTGTGAGGGGTTTGTCCTCCGCCCTCGCATGGTGGAGGGTCCTTCGTACCTCGTGGCTAAGATCAAAGTGGGCAAGCAAGCTTCAAATTTTTATTGCCGAAGATAATTATTTGCGGATGTCACGGATCTGCTCAGCAGCTAAATGATCTTTCCCTTCTTCCTCAGTGGCCGCGCTCTTAGGTTTTCTATTCCCCTGATCAACACTCTGCTCTCGAGATCGGGAGTTGTGCACCGTATTGAATGCAGCACCCACTGTTTCTTCGAACGAGGTAAGGTTGACGCGGAAGGTTTCGGTAACGTACCGGAGACTTTCCATGAAACTTGTAGTCGCTAACGTCTCCGGAGGACTTTGGAGCGATGAGTTTTCTTACTCCCGGACACATTTTTCTAGTTCTCGCCTCTCTTGGGTGGTAGAGAATAACTTTGACTGCACCAAATACGCCTGGTGAGGCGCTGCAAAAGCACGAAAACCGTGAAGAAAATCTCTCCCTTTGAATGGGAAAAGTTGGAATGATTATGAATTCTGTCTCACTCCAAACGAGTACAGTATGTCGCGCCTGTGATCTCCAAGCTAGGAGACCGCGAACGAGATCAGACACTTGCGTGTAATACCTCGATCTATGTTTGCAACTTAAGGTATCAGAAGTGACATCGCGGTCATTGAAAGTCTGAACGCCAAACATCAGCGGTCTCACCATAGAACCACCTATTTATTTATCGGCACTAGGCTAGGGCAGCGATGTACGTGCCTTATTAAACATCCCGAAAGGTGGTGAGCGCCTTCATGCGATGGGTATCCGTCCCCGTACATTGGGGTGCCGATTCCCTGATCCCATCGGTACACAACATAGACAAAAAATTATTGAGATAGTCTGTTTGTCCCGGAGACAGGCATTCGAACATTTATGTTTCGTCCTCGTAGGAAATACAGGTATTCTATAACTCGGTTGTGGGACTGATACAAGTGCTACTAAATGCAACAGGGTTGCCGTGCAATTTGCACATAGGAAGCTTTGACCGTCAGAGTCCTCGGTAAAAACGCACAGGGTGGATTTGTGCGCCAATCGAAAGTCTCTTAGATAACTAGGTGTCTTGTTTGCTCTACTATTTCATACTTAGAATTACTTTTTAATATTTAAAGTTATTTCAATCGTGATGTGACAGCTGTAACGTTTTATAATTGATATATTCGTATCGTGCACAAGATTACAAATTGTGCCATGTTATCATGTGCATGGCTTAAAGACATAATTGAGTCTATTGATTGTGGACTACATCTTCGCAAGCCCAATTTAAAGTTCTTCCGACTTGTGTATGTTTATATAGCTTTCCAAAGAAAGACATGAATTGCTCAGGATATAATCTGTGAGCTCAATGTTTGACAACAATGGTGGCCTATTAAGCTAATTTTGATGCGATTACAAGAACGTACATGCCGCCTCTGACGTTACTGTCAAGAATGGTGACCCTAACTTGTGTGCATGATAGTGCTTGAAAGAAAAAAGAAATAATTTAAGTGCGTGCTAGTCGATTCGTCATTGGGTGAAGAAGTGATAGTGGAGATTTGGTGCCGGGTCTTTCACACGCACAAGGACGGTGATTCTCAAATGCTAGAACAGATGAATGAAATTGCATATCGTACTATCAATTCGCAAAAGAAGCTCAGATCACTCAGCGCGATTTCTGAGCTTATAGCGTCAATATGTCATCTCAATGCTTTTTTATCCAGCAAAGTGCAATTTCTGCTGCTGATCGTGGTTTAGTGCCAGATGCAAAGCATCACAAAAGTGAAGATTGCACAGACAATTTGGTGGTCCCAAATTAGTCAAGTAAAGAGCAAGCATTTATATCCCCACATCCTAAGGCTCTACTTTATCAATGTGTAATTAGTAATGTCGTCGTATTCACATTTCTTTACACATATTCTCTATTTCTAAAGATGTTATTTTTGTCTCGAGCAAACAAAACATTACAGACAGGTAGACACACAAATTGATGCTAGATACTGCATCTAGAAATCATAGCGAGATTTGATCTTCTCCAAAATACTACGAAGGAGCCAACCATCGCCATCTGTGAGTGTGAGGCTGTTGTCCATCACACACGGTGGATAATCAGCAGGTTTGTTCTCGGCTAAATACATTTCTGGCAATCCGAAGCCATGACCAATTTCATGCAAGAGAACCATCATTTCGTCGCCATCCATCGTGTTGAGCATGTCGTTCACTTCAACGCGCTGACCCCAATCACCTCCTGTTCCGATCGCGCCTTCTCCAGGCTTAGTTGATGGCCAGAACGACATGTCAAATGGTTCGTTTTTGCATCCACTCGTGTCTGCACGATCGACTTGGCCTTGATGCTTGTAACACTCATCGGGGCATTTCGGACTACCTTCGGTATCCAAAAGACCTTCGTAGATCGTCCCAAGGGAGTCGTCCGACCAATCCATGATGGACTTGTCTTTCACGGCAAAGGCCACCACAGTGATTTCAACCTTTTCAAACGGCCAGCACTGGTAGCCAACGAGCCAGCGGTGCCATAGATTCATCTGTTTATTAAGAATCGCTTCAAACTTGGAAGCAACAGCCTTTGTAAGCTTGACGTCAGTGTCCCATCGCACACAATAGCTGAGTTTGCCTTTATTCGTAACAAGCTGATCGAAGATTAGATTCTTAAAAGGAGGGACATACTTCTCCATTGTGTTTTTCCAGACCCAATCAACCTGTTCCCGCGTGAGATCTCCTGCGTCTGGATTGCCCAATACGCACTCATTACTGGTGGAAGTAAGTTTACCAAACGTAGCTTGGCCGCCCGACGATGCAGACGATTTCTTAGTGGATGTTTGACTTTGAGTTGAGTCGGACAATCCAGTAACAGTTGAATTAGATGTTAATGTATTCAGATCAGATTCAGATTGAACAGCAGGTGTTTCGGTCGTAGCAGGAGTAAACACATCACTCTCCTGGGTGACACTTTTCGGTGGAAGTGAGTCCTTTTGCTTCACATTACACTTGGAGGCATCCACCACCACACCAATCCCAACAAGCGCGAGAAGCATGACAGTCAGCATTGATGGTGTTGGAAATCGGACAGCTCGACGTGGAGGCATGACGTAAACTTTTTAATGACGAGTGAGCACTTGAGAAGTCATAATTCCTTTACAAAGAAAACGCTATGTCGTGCATCGCTCCAGTGCTCTATGCAACATATGAATGACAGTTTTATACTTTGATGTTTAGGAACATATGCACACGACTTCTTCCAAAATATTGGCTCTGTATTGCGAAGGCAAGGCTCACGGTCTCATTAAACTCGCTTACCGCAAGTGCTGTAAAGTGCTAGCATAATTTTTTGAGTCATTACACACTCTGCGATACGACAATCTCCACAGAAAAAGAGATGACGTGTTTCGTTGATATTGTTTCCGGTGTCATTTGTCATCTGGATTAAGCAAAGTGTTCCTTTACAGATGGCCTCATTGTAAAAACAAAATATAAGATCAGGCGGAAATTGGGATCGTTATATTGATGTTTGTGGGTATGTAGAAGTATGAGTGTCGAGCCACCTATTCGCCTGAGGATTTGACTCAAGCGTACGTTATGGTGTGTATTTGAAAGCTCAAGAAAACGACAACGACGCCGTATTTACGTTGCATATAGGCACGAATGATATGCACATTGTCTTAAATAGTTTAAGTCTTGATTCAATTAGTAGAAGATGAGCAAAATGTATGTAGTGCATTGCGTGACGTGCTCGATCGTACTTGGTCATTACACTATATCACTCAAAGCAGGCACATTTATAGCAGCAATTTGTTGCTGCAGTCTTTCAATGAAGTTATTGCCAGTAAGTGGTAGGCTTTGCTGGCACCAAACCTTGTCATGTTGCAACCAACGACTCTGGTGTGTTTTTAACCCGCTGAGAGAAGAGAGCTTAATAATTCGTAATACATCCAGAAGAAAAGAAAAAGTATTCGAGGTGGACTGAGTCGAGTCGGCTGCTCAGAATTAGATGATTGTGCTTGAGTCAGAAGTTCAAAGTTAGCGATCAATGCACGACCTGGTTGACCCAAAAAAAATACCTGAGGCAATCGTCAAATGTTTTGCAACGTACTATCTGATTATTTGGATTTGTTACCGAAGCACAGCCAAAAAAAGTCACTTTACCCGATACTAATAACGTCGGTGAGGCTCGAGCCTTTAGACAGGTACTAATTATTTTACAAGTAACTTTTATTTTTGTAAGCTTACATTTTCGCAAAATTATTATATTTTGCTTGACCGATAAGTTTCACAACCCTTGCGTGAGAAAGCGTATAGGAGTATAGCAATTTCCAGTTAGCGGCAGTAGCGGTAAGGGAGAAGCCTTTAATTCAATTGCCAGCAAAAGCTTAGTAGATTCAAGAATCCCAGTTTACCAAACAAAAATGCAGGTCTACTGTACAGCTTCCTATTAATTTAGACCCAATTGGCGATGCTTCTGCGCTCACGACAAATATCTTGTGTTGTTATGAGGCATGTGGTATACTTCAAATATATTGACAAAGACAGTCGTAAAACAATTATCAGCACCTGCTACACACACGAGTAGCATTAAGAAATTGTGTATACCACAAATTTCTCAAGAAATTGAGGCATACAATGTAAAGCGCGGTAGCATCCCCGTCCCATTACCGGCCTTTTGGCCAACACTGGCATGGCTATGGGTAAGATATGCGAGCTCAGCCGACCAAATGTCGATCATGTTGATACAGAAGCTAGCTCCGTACATGGTTAGTGTGAAGACTGCTTCTAAAAGCCGCCATAACCCGTCTCCATAGCGGTAATATTTGAAGATCCCAGCTGCTCAGCAGAAATTATTCCGAGAGACCGCAATCTTGTGATTTACTTTCGCTTCAACATTATTAAATTATGGAAACTATGCCTGATTTCCAAAATGAGAGATTAAACACGACAGGGGATTTTTATTATAGATGACAGAAGTACGGAGTATTCAATTTTAGCTAGCTATAAATTTTTCATGATTGAAGCAAGTCTATAAACCCATTCTGTGTATATTTGCGCGTTCAAAGCTTAGGTGCACGGAAAACCCTTTGCGTGGATTTTGCCGTAAACGCCAACACACGTACTTGAACGAAAGATGATGCATCTTCGTTACGTCTGTAGACATGATATAAAAAGTTTTTAAATCGTACATGTTCTTCCCGTACTCATTTCTACTGTACACCGAACCATGTGATCAACACGATGCGCAGCTTCTGCGTGTACATACCACAATTATAAATCGATGAATTGCCGATGGTCCAGCTCGCACGATTTACGCACTGATCAACATCACCCTTTTTTTTCGCAGAATCTCTGATACTTTTATTCCAAATTAAGAATCATCTCGGCAAGGAAGCGTTTTTCCTAGCTGCCAGCATTTGATTGTAGCAGACTAAGTGTAACCAGCCGAGCTCGTAATGTCATAAAACAGGCCACTCAAACGCGTGATCTAAGTTTTGTTCCAAAACATCCTTTTATGCCGAATTTCCTTACTCACAGTATAAATCAAGGAGAAGTATGAGTTGACTGCAATTCTTGTCAGGCTCGAAACCAGTACAAATGCTGAGGCCACCATCAGCAGTGAAAGCTAGCTACACTTTTGTGTTCAGCGAGTGGTTGTGGAAGGTGCTTTCTTGGAAAGCACATGCCACATGAAGGAGATAACCGGGACAAAGGCTGTTTGTGAATATAACGCAGGTCGAAGCTTGACTTCAAGAATATTTACATTTGAAGCACTCAGTTTCTTAATTGCCAGTGCGTCCGGCTGCTGAGGGAAACTATTCCTCATGATCTCGTTGAAGTTCTTCGCAGGACTTGAAAAAGTTGAAGAGTTGATTCCACTGACAAGCACAAAGCCTATTCAGTCACTGACTTGGCTACTCAAAATTTGCAAAAGGGGTGGCTTCATATAATCTTGCCCAAGAGCTTCATTCGCACAAAGAGCATCTTTGCGTTCTCAGTTTATGACTTGGCGATCATATCACGGAAGCTTTTACAATTTATCTTCTCTAGCCTGTACAATATACTCCAGACCTAAAGGCGTCAGCCTTAGCGAAGAGTGGAGTAGTTGCTATTTGTACGTAAAGTTCAAGAACTTAATGATACGAGGTGGATAGTGCAGCGTTCGTACGAGATCTAGTACACTTCAACATTTCCTCGATACCGCAAGGTTAACAGTTGTTTATGGAATACCTCACGATTGCTAGTTTACTACTTGTATACATTAAAGCTCGCAAGACTGCCACTTGGCCCAGATGCTTGATATATCCGGTTCCTCTACACTGGAGCTCTCATGAAAAATTTGTCCAATTGGAATTAATCTCATCAATCCAGACAAACGGCTGCTCCGTGAGAAAATGCAGTTCTTCGAGAGATAGGAAGCTTGGAACTTCAAGAGAAGAAGCTGTTTTGTTCACTACATTTATGCTATTTGTGATGCTGGTGCCGCGCCGATGACGCATTTTTTATACGGTTGATGTGATTGCGACAATATTTCGCGTAAAAAACTTGATTTTGTCCTTCCACTTGTTTAGGTATGGATCAGAGATCAGTAATTTGGTTCGGTACTTGTCGCAATCACAGCCAATACTGAAGGTTGCTATTAAATTGCTCATTCTTACACGACCAAGACAAAGGATCGAGGAGCATCAAGAATTTGAAGTGATTCTAATGCGCTCGTGGGTACTGTTGGTTTGTGGCATGAGTGCTTGTGTCGTACTCGCAAGCAGGGAAAATCGACTGCTAGGTTTGATCGAGTCGGTTGATCCTCATCCAGTCGTTGCGAACAACATGTTTGCTTCAAAAGTCGTAGAAGATTCACCAAATGTCAGAACCAAAGACGAAGAAGCACGGACCTTTCAAGAAACAATAGAAAAATACGTCGCTTTGATAAAGGTGATCCTAAATCAAGAGCATCCCGAAGCTTATTTCAACAAAGCGAATTTGGGCGAGATAATCAAGTCTCAACGGACAACATCAACTTTAATCCCCTGGGTTCGACATGTGGTAGCGTACAGATCAGTATTAGGTCATGACTACTACACGGAAGAACAATTTTACGAGCTCTTGAAAAAGTGGACAGATGAAGAGTTTGTCATGAAATTCTGCCAAGACATTAAAAGAAATCCAGAATTTGCTGAATTTGCTGAAGAAATGATGACTTTTTTGTGGCTCAAGTCCAAAATGAGCCCAGAACAAGTTGGGGACATTCTTTTATCTGGTGAGAAAAGTGTTCCCGATAAAGACGCGCTGCTGAATAAAGTACTTCAATACAGTCATAAGTATAGGAATTTGATGCTTACCAATGGCGAAGCGTTGGGTAACCTCAACTCAGAGGTGTACATGTACAGAATTCTGGGACTGTTGAGAACAATAAAGAAGGATGAAGAATTGAAGGTGTGGCTCGAATCTGTTCAAGCAGAAGACGGTCTGAAGACCTTTGCGGGAAACCTGGCAGGAGCACTAGAACGTGATATTATGAATCGGCAGGACCTAATGTCGTCACAGTCACTGACAGATCTAGGCATCAAAATGGTTTTCACCAAGCTGGATCTCACACCCACGAGACAGAGCCTCAATCCAGAAAAGTTTTTCCAGTGGCTTCGATTTTGCGCTTTGAGCTCGAAAGAGAAGACAGATCCAGCTGAACTCTCCGGACTCATCGACACGATACTGGAGCTGCTAGAAAGCGTGTACCCAAAGAATAACCTTGCTAGCTTATTCGATGACATTTCCAATGTCTCGGACATGAAAACTCTCGCTGATCAAATGGAGAATGCACTTCGACACACGGAGGCCTGACAGTTGACAGAGTCTAATTAGCTCACATTGGATCAGATGCATAGTCCAACGTTGTCGTGAATTTGCCACAAATGTCTCTGATCATCAAGCTCAATTCTTATTTAGCTAGAAACAACAATGGAATGAGACTTATGTAGCACCTTGATGCACAGTTGCGATTAGTCGCGACCAACTCACTCGTTGCTAACTAATATAAAAAATTTACCAGATAGACGAGCTATAAGAATCGGTGGTGTAGAACATACGGTCGAAAGCATTGCAGTGTTTCCCCTTACACATCAATTCTAAAAGTTTACTGGTTTAGCAATTCTATGCCAAATTTAAGCAAAAAGCAATTTTGACATGACTGCATGACGTGATCGGCAGGAACCTGATCACAAAAATAGATCGAGTACACTCTAAATAATCTTAGCATACACAATATGCTGCATTGTTTTGAACTGTTCTTTGATGTGACAAAAGGAACAATCGTTGTACCAAGCTCGACATGCTGATAGCAGCAAGGTGAGCCATTTTTCCTAAAACGTTCAAAACGACCACAATACTTGTATGACTAGAAGCGACTTTCAAAAGATTAAGAAGATGCCCATGCTCACAACGGCAGATTGATTAGGGTGCCATTACTTGCGGAGAGAAAACAAAATGTTGACACATGTGCACACAATTTAATCTATCCATTTGTACAGGCTAGACACCTTTTTTCTACCTACATGAACATATCACGTGCCTTGTTCAGAGTTTGATACTCGATCGTGAGGACCAATCACATGCTGTGTCCAACGGATCCACGGTGTGATACAGCACGACACGGACAGGAATAGCGATGACACACGACAATAGAGCCTTTCATTCAACGACATTTTCGCACAACAATATATTGTTTTCCAAAGCATCTAACGACACAACATATATAATTCTCATTATATGTATGTTCTGTAGATTGCAAACACACTCTAGAGCTAAACAGAGTCTATTCGAATTTTTCAGATGTGTAGTCAACATTGTTCATCAGTTTGTTTATTAAAGCCATAAAGATGCATTAGACACCAACTTCGGGTCGCAGCTTGTAAGCGAAACTCGATAGATTCCGTGTGAATATTTATTTAAAGTATTATGCTCAACCTGAATTCCTATAAAGCAGTTCAATTTATTGAAACTGAGCTTGTGTAAAGTTCTAGGATATGGAAATCAG